AACCTTTCACTCAAAGTTTTTTTTTTCATTCTTATCTCACATTAATTAAATTCTCTCTTGTTAAATAATTATAATTATCTTTATTAACATTAAAAAGAACAAAATCTTTTGTCGACTCAAAAAAATCCGTACAAAATCTTTTTTTAAAAAAAATAAAAAATATTCGTTGATCCGTGTTCAAAAAATTTCACGAAATAACAATATATAATAAAACCTTTCTTTACACACAAAATAATTCATTGATCCGTGTTCAATTTTATTTTTTGGCCCTATCTCATTCATTATTAATATTAAACATCAAACAAAAGAACAATGTCTACTGTATTGATCGCAATTGTGTTTGTCAAGTCCGTCAATGGCTCCAGAACCTTAAGCGGCACAGCCACAGCCAGATTGGATGATGATGAATATGTAGACTTTCAATATAAGGCATTCAATGTGAATGAAGCAAATTTAATTGACGAAATTCAAGAAAACACCATCATGTTGTTTGCAGGAAAATACATATTCGACGAATCGCAATTATTTGTGAGTATTTTATCTAATTTTTTGTCTTGCTTTTTTAAATAACAATAATTAAAATAACATATTTCTTGTCATACACTCCAGGTCATAGTGAATAAATCAACCCTCCTTGACCTGAAAACCATAGAAGACAAACCAACTATATACGATCTGCCAATTAGTCCTTTATATGGTGTCATAACTGCTCCGTGTGTAACACCTTCAAAAAATCAAGATGACAAACATTACTTCACTATGTCTCGAAGAACATACGACCCATTTAAAGGTGGATACACATCAATGGACATTCCATGTTTTTATGATCCTGAAAATGGTCGTCACGGTGGTGTTGCCAATGCTACAAAAAACGGGAAACAAATTTTTACTGTAGCAGGCGAGGTCTTTCTGGGCAGAAAGCTTGTGCAAGTCTTTGCAAGTGAAATCGAGTGGACTTATCCGAGTGTTGAAAAGACCAACAACAACGATGAAAAGAAATCCCCACGCAAAGCATTAAAATCCAAACACCTGGATTTTGAGGAACAATTCATGAGTTCCAACAGCAAGAGAAAGACCACAAATCACATCGGGGAGTCAGTTAAAAAAAGAAAAAGTGCAGACCATGATCCACAAGAAGAATCAAGTACAGCAAGGGCAACAAAACTGACACACACAATGAACAAAGTTGTCAGTAACAATAAAGGTTGTACAGACGCAATAGAAAATTTATACAACATTGAAAACGATGACGATAATAATGAAAACGAAACAGTGGTAAATGACAATGGTGACGAGAGTTGTGACACTGAATAATTCTCATTATTCTTTTTGTTTCATTTCCATTTGCTTTTTTTTTTTTTCGCAATAAAAATTACGTATATCAAATTTTTTTTTCTACTTGTATTTTTTTTTGCAATAAAATTTATGTAGATCAAATTTTTTTCAGAAAAATAAAAAAAAAAAAATTTTTTTTTGAAATCACCACCCAGCGAAAGCAAAAAATTCTTTCCCAAAAAATTAAGTTTAAAAAGTTTTAAAAACAGAGATTTTTCGGTTTCATTGCAATTGCAAGCATTGCTTGCAATTCAATTCAACGCAACTCAATTGCAATTGCAACCTGTATATGAAACGAAACATTTGCCGTACGACACAATTTTTGCTAAATATGGCGAAAACGTTGATCGCGCCAAAAGCCGAAAAGACCAGGCGCGGCTAGACGCAAAAGGAGACAATCGGCGAGAAAACTGCGCGGAAGTCGCACGACTTGCGAGTTTTGGAAGGAGATCGTGACACGGCAAATGTTTAATCTTTTTTTTTGTGTTAATTTGTGTTAATTAATTAATATTAAATCTTCCAGTCAAAAAACCGGACAGCCAAAAAATTTCCGGAAATTTTTAAATCTGGCCGGTAAAAACCGGCTGGATCTATAGGAATATTTAACCCTGTACTCATATACAAACTTCAATGTTTTAATAAGTACTATAAGATTGAAATCTACATTTCACAGTGAATCTCAATATTTTATTAATATAAATGCCAACTATGTTAGTACAATTTCTTCCAATTTATTTATACTAAATCATAACAATTTCCATGAATGTATATTTATGCTTTACTCTCAAAACTATTTTTCACTATCATTAAACAATTCTTTATACTAAGAAATACTCAACAATATCCTCTTTAGATTTTACATTATATATCCTGATCACATTTCTTGGTGCCCTTCTAGACATTTTCCTCTTTGCTACATCTCCAAACTTCACTAAATAAAATTTATTAAATATTACAAAAGAAAAGAAATAAAAATAATAAAAATAATAGAAACAAATATAAAATAAGTATGCACGGGATTAGTATGGATTCATTATTAGAGATAGATTTGTTATCATTATGAAAATACAATATTCGAAAACAACAAGGACAAGGACAAGGTTAAGGATAGTGTTGTATTGATTAATTATATATATGATACATGAAGTTGAGAAAATTACAACATTATTTACACATGTTAAAGGTTCTATCATCTAGTTCTCCGATTCCTTTGAAATCCTAATTAAATGTATTATTTGAACCTTCTGTGTAGAATTATTTTCAAGTTATTTCCAAAGTGATCCGATCATTTAAATTCTTCATTTAAATTAAATCTAAGAATTAAAGATTTGTTACATTTAGAACGTTAGAATAATTATTTTTCCGTCATTTGAGATATTTTCCGCGAGTCAATTATTTTATATAAAAATATGAAATTGGAATACTTGATCAGTTTTTCTGATTTATTTGCGTTCAACTTTCGTAAATCATTTCCGATTTATTTATTAATTTCCCATGATATGTAAAATTACTATCTTACTATTACAGTATTAATTATATCAGAACCTTTTAAAAATTGAATGACTGACATCACCATTAGAATGATTAATGTTAATGCCACCATTAAGTAAAACGTCAAATGATTAAGCCAATGATTTCTAAAATAAGATTAGTTATGAACATAACTTACTAAAATAACATGTCCATTTTTGTCAATTAATTAGAATATTTATAGTTTACATCTAGAGCACACTATAAATAATCTTGTAATTTTTTTTTTATTCAAAATTATTTAATACTGTAAATTCATAGCATTAATAAGTTTGGTT